GACTGCTGATGCAATAACTCTGCTTATCTCTCTGGCCGATAAAAGAGTTGGTGTAGCGAAGCGCTAATGAGCGAGAGCCCAGCGAGAGCCATCAGCCTCAGTCAGCGTAAAATTATTATCGGGCGGTCGAGTGACGGGCACAACGCAGGACGCTCTCTACAAACACCATATGCATAGCATTGCATTATTTGATATTATTGACAGGCCGTGATCACAAACACATGTTTTGAAGTAAACGGAAAACGAAACTTCCAAAAAAGTATTCTTGTGGCAAGAAATGCACTTGAGCTGGGGAGCCCTTCAAGAACCTTTAGTCTCATCACTCGGTTATCACCACGCTTTCTTGATTTGGTTCAAAGGTAAATTTGGGTTTGTGCTAAGCGCATGAGTGTTCTCAAATCTTGTTGCATTTGCTCTGCTTTAGGTTTGTTGCGTCTATTCTGCCGGTGTGTGCTGCTAGCGCAGCATGCAGTGACGATGACGTCAGCCGGATATGAAGCGACGTACATTTCGGTCGTAAAAGTCCGCCTGGCCACGCCACGCGCGCCGGTGGCGGGGGCTGAGCTCGCGGTCAGTTGCACCACCACCACCGCCGCCGCCGCCGCCGGCCTCAGGTTGACGTTGTACCAGCTCCACCGCAGAAACAGAAACAACGACAGGCCCTGAGTAAGGGGGTATAGGGCGGCCGGGGGCGCCGGGCGGCGCGCGCTAGCGCGCGCACGCACACACACACACAGCGTTATCCGAGGCCTTATCATTGCCGGAGTGAACACAAGTGGCGCGCGGAGAGGAGGAGAGAGGAGTGCGCTGCGCACTATGAGTGTGCTAGCGCACCGGCCTCCGGCCGCGCTGCGCCAAGCCCCACCACGCCACGCCACGCCGCACGAGCGTTTATGACAGGCGTTACTGCAACGCCTCTATACGACGGGCGCAGCCCGACGTTTGCATGTACAGCAGAGCTAGCCGTGTGCGCTCGAATCGAATCACGAGTCACGTGACGGGGGCGTCGTCTGCACCGGGTCGGCACGACGGGGTACTTCACCGCGGCGGAGGCGTGAGTGCGGCATCAATGGCTCTGGCTGTGGCTGTGACGCCTCCCGCGCTAACGGGGGGTCGTCCACTGTTGAATATTCTTTGCGAATTGCGAAAAAAATAATATTTGTAAACGCTTTGCAATTTGCAAACGGTTCTGATTACCTCGTAGACTACCCAGCGGGTTTATGGTAGAGTTTATAGGTATGGGTGTAATGTTTAGCCTCAGAAAGAGGCATATTTTGTGGTTGTTTTTGTTTGTTAAGCTGCCGTCAGTGTTCATCTTACCTTTTTAGTTGTTTATGCTTTTCTTTTCTCCCCGGAGCTTCCGATCAGTCGCAATAGCGCAAATGCCATTGGACGGGCACTCATATACTCCAGGGAGCAGAGTGGGGCGCGGG